GCCGGGCATGGTAGTGCATGCTTGTAATTCTGGCTACTCGGAAGGCTGAGATGGAAGGATCGCTGGAGCCCAGCAGGTCGAGACTGCGGTGGCTGGGAGCGGCCACTGCACTCCAGTCTGGGCGACAGAGTGAGACTCCAACTCAAAAAAAAAAAAAAAAAAGGAATGAATGGCTGATACACGCAATAACAGGTAAATTCTGAAAGCATTATGGTAAGTGAAAGAAGCTAGATACAAAAGTACATTTATTGTATGCTTCCATTTATATGAAATTTTGATAAAGATAAAAACTTGTCATAATAGAAAACAGATCAATGGTTGCCAGGATATTGGGGGGAGAGGATTGACTACAAGGGGGAATTTACAGGGAGATTCTACAATTGACTACAAGGAGAATTTAGAGGGGTCATGGAATTGCACGCTGTTTTGATTCATTGATAAAAACTCATCAGATTGTTCACTTAGAATCAGTGAATTTATTCATTTTTGAGTTGGAGTCTCATTCTATTGCCCAGGTTGGAGTGCAGTGGTACACTCATGGCCACCCCAACATTGACCTGCTGGGCTCAGGTGATCTTTCCACTTCAGCCTTCCAAGTAGCTGGAACTATAGATGCATGCCACCACACCTGGCTACTTTTTGTGTTTTATTATAGAGACAAGGTCTCACCAAGTTGTCCAGGTTGATCTTGAACCCTCAGCCTCCCAAAGTGCTGGAATTACAGGCTGAGCCACCACACCTGACCTGAAAAATAAATTTTTTTTTTTTTGAGTCAGAGTCTTACTTTGTTATCCAGGTTGGAGTGCAGTGTCACACTCACGGCCACTATAACCTCAACCTGCTGGACTCAGGGGACCCTTCCACCTCAGCCTTCCAAGTAGCTGGAACCACAGGCATGTGCCACCATGCCCGACTAATTTTTAAAAAATTTATTGTAGAGATGAGGTCTCGCTTGCAAGTTGTCCAGGCTAAAAATTAATTTCTAATGGAGATTTATAAACCTTTCTCAGAATTTGACATTTTAGGATTCTCTATATTTTTCTGTGTCAAACATTCCATAATAAAATATTTAAAAGATCATGCTAAAATAATCAATAGCTATGCTTTATTTCAATAAGATCCTTTATTTTGACACAGACTCATTCAGTTGCAATTATTTTGACACAGACTCATTCAATTGCAATGAAAAATAAGCTGGGTATGGTGGGTCAAGTCTGTAATCCCAGCACTTTGGGAGTTGGCCAAGGCAAGAGAATTGCCAGAGCCCAGGGGTTTGAGATCAGCCTGGGCAACTTGGTGAGACCTTGTCTCTACAATATATCAAAAAATTAACTGGGTGTGGTAGTGCGCACCTGTAGTTCCAGCTACTTGGAAGGCTGAGGCAGAAGGATTACCTGAGCCCAGCAGGTTGACACTAGGGTGGCTAAGAGCGTGCCACTGCACTCCAGCCTGGTGAGTGATAGAGTGAGACTCTGGCTCAAAAAAAACCCCAAAAGGTAAATAGTTATGCTGTATTACAACTGAATATTATGAAAACTTTTTCATTTTCATGGATCTTTTAAATACAAATATTATTGACTCAGTGAATTATGTATTATATGTTTTTGCACTTGGTTCAATCTTTAGGTGTCAGAAAAATCTAATGATTTCCAAGTATAAATTGTACATTTCCAGCTGGTTTGCCAAGATTGAGTAACTATGATACAATAAAGTGAGATATTGGGCAAATACGTTAAGTAGTTCCATAAGTATAAAAGAGTACATCTTCGTCAAAGCAATACAGGTTGGCCCAGCATTTTGGGAAGCAGAGGCGAGAAGATTGCTTGAGCCCAGGAGTTCGAGACTAGGCTAGGTAACTTGGTGAGGCCTTGTATCTACAATAAATCAAAAATTGACTGGGCATGGTGGCATGCATCTGTTGTTCCAGCTACTTAGAAGACTGGGGTAGAAGGATCGCCTCAGCCCAGCAGATAGAGGCCATTGCTCTTTAGCCTGGGCAACAGAGTGAGGCTCCAACTCAAAAAAAAAAAAGGCAATGTAGGTTGGGTTGTTGGATTTTGAGGAAGAATTTCTTTGAAGAGTTGTTTTGAAGAGCTCCAAGTAGGAGTGGTGGAGGTTTTTGCCTCTTTTATCAAGCCTAGTGAAATGTTTCAGCGGGACCCAGGAGAGCTTGATGGAGGTCCAGTGCACTAAGAGGGGGACATAGTAAACTGATGTCTTGCCTCCCGACCAGGAAGTCTTGAGGACAAGATATCTGCTACCCAGCTGTTGGTGACAGCAAAAGCACAGCTGATGTCTTGGGATCCTTGTGTAATCCTAGGGTTTGTTAGTGTGTGCCCATTGGCAGACGGGTCAAGAAAGAGCGAGTAGGGGAAGGAAGAAAGAGAAGGAAGAGAGGAGGGAGCACAAAAGTGAAAATGAGTGTGCTCAGGGGTTGTGTGTGTCAGGATTGCATTCTCTTAGATACTCAAGAGTTGTGCAGCTATCACCACAATAATTTTTAGACTCTAAAAGTAAATAAACCCTGCACCCTTTAGCTATTACCTCCCAATTCCCTCTCCAGCTATAGGCAACTACTAATCACTTTCTGTCTCTTAAGATATACCAATTCTGGGCATTTCATATAAATGGAATCACAAAAGATATATGGTTCTTTGTGACTGGTTTCTTTTACTTAAGATAATATTTTCAGTGTTCAACCATGTTGTAGCATGTATTAATACTTAATTCCTATTTATGCCAAATATTATATTGTTTGTTTATACCATATTTTTTTAATGCATTTACCTGTTGATGGACATCTGGGTTGTTTCTACTTTGGCTATTCAGAATAATGCAGCTGTGAACATTCAGGTACAAGTTTTTGTGTGGACACGTTTTCAATTCTTTTGTTTTTAAATGTAGGAGTAGAATTGCTGGTTATGTAGTGACTCTCTGTTTAACCTTCTGAGGAACTACAGGCTGTTTTCCAAAGTGTCTACAATTTTAAATTCCCACCAGCAGTATATAAGGGTTCCAATTTCTCCATATCCTTGCCTGTACTTTTTTTGTTTTTGTTTTAGTTGGAGTTTCACTCTGCCACCCAGGCTGGAGTGCAGTGACATGCTCATGGCCACCACAACCTCGGCCTGCTGGGTGATCCTTCTGCTTCTGCTTTCCAAATAGCTGGAACTACAGGCACACTCTACCATGCCCTACTTATTTTTTTGATTTATTGTAGAGATGAGGTCTCACCAAGTTGTCCAGGCAGGTCTCAAACCTCTTAGCTCAGGCAGTCCTCTCGCCTTGTCCTCTCAAAGTGCTGGGATTAAAGGCTTGAGCTGCCACGCCCGGTTTGCCAGTACTTTTTTTTTTTTGAGTTGGAGTCTCACTCTGTCGCCCAGACTGGAGTGCAGTAGCCGCTCCCGGCCACCGCAGCCTCGACCTGCTGGGCTCCGGCGATCCTTCCGCCTCAGCCTTCCAAGTAGCCAGAATTACAGGCATGCGCTACCGCGCCCGGCTGATTTTTTGATTTATTGTAGAGATGAGGTCTCGCTGCCCAGGCGGGTCTCGAACCCGCGGGCTCAGGCAATCCACTCACCTCAGCCTCCCAAAGGCACGGGATTACAGGCTGAGCCACCGAGCCCGGCTGCCAATACTTTTTATACAACACTTGTTGTTACCCGTATTTTTAATTGTAGCCATCCTAGTGGATACGAAGTGCTATCCTGTTGTGGTTTTGATTTGCATTTCCTGGTGGCTAACGACATTGAACATTGTTTCATGTGCTTATTGGACATTTGTATATCTTCTTTGGGGACATATCTGTTCATATCTTTTGCCTATTTTAAAAATTAGGTTATTTGTTTTGTGATTGCCTTTTGCTTTTTGACTAGGATTTTTTTTTTTTTTTTTAGTGGTTCTGGTTTTGTCTCCTCTCTTTTTCAGATAGAGGAAGTGAAGCGACGACAGTATTCCCTTGCATTCAGTTCAGCGGGAGCCCAAGCTCAGACCTATCATGTCAGCTTTGAGACTTTGGCTGAGTACCAGAGATGGCAACGGCAAGCGTCCAAGGTGATTAGCGATCAAACATCCTGATAAGGCGATGAGAATGGAAAATCCCAGTAGAAATGTATTTTGAAAGTGAACTTACTCCTAAGAGAGTGGATTACAATTTTTAATTGCCTTTTTAGGCCTTTCTGAGTATACAAGGGGGTCCAAAAAAACCTAGAATTTAGTTATTAAAAATTGTGTATTTATTCTTAGATGTTTAAAGTACTGTCCATTTGATTCAACACACCTATTGAGGCTCTTTTACCACTGCTCAAAGCAGTTTTGTTTTGTTTTGTTTTTTGAGTTAGAGTCTCACTCTGTTGCCCAGGCTGGAGTGCAGTGGCACATTCATGACCATTGCATCCTTGACTTGGTGAGTTCAGGCAATCCTTCTGCCTCAGCCTTCCAAGTAGTTGGAACTACAGGCATGCATCATCATGCCCAGCTATTTTTAAAAAATTTATTGTAGAGACAAAGTCTCACCATGTTGCCCAGGCTGGTCTTGAACCCATGGACCCAGGCAGTCCGCTCGCTTCCACCTCCCAAAGTGCTGGGATTACAGGCGTGAGCTGCCATGCCTGGCCTCAAAACAGTTTTTAAACTTGTTAGTTTTGATGCCTTTTAGTGCTTCTGCCAATTTTTGTTTCACCTCTTCCACATCAGTAAAATGTTTCCTTTTGAGGAGTTTTTTCATCTGAGAAAACAAACAAAAAAAGTCACTTGGAGAGAGAGTGGGTGAATAGAGAGGGTGGGGCACAAGGGTCACGAATTTTTGGTCAAAAATTGCTGAATACTCAGCACAGTGTGGGTAGGTGTGTTATCCTGGTGGAAGAACCAGTCACCTGTTTGCTACAACTCAGTACGTTTCTTCCACAAATTGTGACACAACCTTGTCAAAACTTCCAGATAAAAATTTTGATTGACCATTTGATCTGAAGGAACAAATTTTGAGTATACTACCAGGGATCTGCCCTCTAAAAGATAATTCCATATTTTTTGTGTCTCCCCTCATATAATGAATAAAATCATGGAATTCCATCAGTTCCTTAATGTATTATTTATATTTGCATAGTACAAAATGCTGTCAAGAGTGTTTTTAGGTGCATTTACCTGTGTACCATCTCTTAGGGATTTGAAAGGAATGAAGACCTAATGAAATTTGACCCTTGAAGGAACTGAGTCACAATGAGACCTAAATGACTTTCCCTTGGCCAAAGTAATCAGCAGTGTATGAATTCATTCCCTAACATATAGCCTAGTGTGTCCTGGTCTGTATATATTTAGAATAGCATTGATGAACTGCTTCAAATGTGAACTTATTGATGCAACAGTGACCTGTAATTCTGTTACCATTATTTCTATATGCTGAGGACTATTAGCCTTTCAGCATAATTTTTACTTTTTAGCCTTTTAATGTGAACTACGGTAAAGAGATATTGTGATTTCTAAATTCCTTGTTCTTCTAGCCATCTTTGCTGAATTTTGCGTAAGATTGTTATAGTATAATGACATGCCACCAAAACGTGAATGACTCTTCTAGTGATATGTTGTTTATTTATTTAGATCCATTTTCACAACCCATGTTTTTTAGCATACTCTTATAGAAATATAATCCCTGCTTTGGTTTTACTGAATTTTTTTGTTGTTGTGTTGACTATAAAATCTTCTCTGATTAAAACTGGATTCACTTTTTTGTGTTTGTATGTTGGAGTCTCACTGTTGTCACCCATGCTGTAGTGTGGTGGCATGCTCACAGCCACCGCAGCCTTGACCTGCCAGACTTAGGTGATCCTTCTGCCTCAGTCTTCCAAGTAGCTGGAACTACAGATGCATGCCACCACATCCGGCTAGTTTTTGTGATTTACTGCAGAGATGAGGTCTCACCAGGTTACCCAGGCTGATGTTGAATCTCTGGGCTCCCTAAGTGCTGGGATTATAGGCTGAGCCACAGCACCTGATCGGGATTCACTTTTAAGTAGCTATTGCATTCTTCTGCCCTTTTAAAGAGAAGCTAGTATTTGTTTGTGCCATCTTTTGCGCATGTTCAGCATTGTGCTGTATGCTTGATTATTTAATGATATCCTCACAACACATGAAGAAATTGTGCTAATAAGTAGCAAAGACAGGCCGGGTGCAGTGTCTCATGCCTATAATTCCAGTATTTTGGGAGGTGGAGGTGAGAGGATTGCCTGAGCCCACCGGTTCAGCCCAGGCAACTTGGCAAGACCTCATCTCTACAGTTAATCAAAAAATTAGCCGGGTGTAGTGGCGTGTGCCTGTAGTTCCAGCTACTTGGAAGACTGAGGCAGAAGGATCACCTGAGTCCAGCAGGTTGAGGCTGCGGTGGCCGTGAGTATGCCACTGCACTCCAGTCTGGGTGAGAGTGAGACTCCAACTCAATAAACAAAAATAAGTATCAGAAACTGTGGCTACAAATGGCCATGTCTTTTCATATCACACTGTCTTTTTTAAAAGTTTTTTAATAGTTATTTTCAGTCATCTTAAGATTACTTCTTGCATAAAGTATTAACTTTCCATCTTTATGATTTTTTTTATCCTTATAGAGGCTTTTTAACTTACACATTTGTTTTTCAAGCAGCTTATGATTTTAGGTAAAAGTAAAAATTAACTGGTTTTTGTAAATGAGTAATTAGCTCTCATTATCTTTTTTGCTTTTCTAGCTTTCTCATTAGTGCCTTTTTGTCTAAATGCTATTTCATTCTGCAATAGGTGATGGACATTCAGTACAAGCTCAGAAAGTTTTTTTCTTTACCCTTATTCAATAGGTGGTGTCCCAGCGAATCAGTACAGTGGATCTCTCATGCTACAGCCTCGAGGAGGTTCCTGAGCATCTCTTCTACAGTCAAGATATCACCTACCTCAACTTACGACACAACTTCATGCAATTAGAAAGACCAGGGGGCCTTGACACGCTATACAAGTATGTGAAGAATGGGTTTACAAACTAACTTGGTAAAACCAAATGGTAATCAATATCTTAGTGGTTTATACCTGTAAGTGAGCATAACACCATTTTCCTCCTCCCTTTTGAAGAAGAAATAAATTTTTTTTTTATTGGAGTCTCACTCTTGCTCAGGCACGCTCACGGCCACCGCAGCCTCAACCTGCTGTGCTCAGTTGATCCTTCCGCCTCAGCCTTCCAAGTAGCTGGAACTACTGGCACACCCAGTTAATTTTTTTTTTTTAATTGTAGAGTTGAGGTCTTACCAAGATGCCCAGGCTGGTCTCAAGCCTGTGGCCTCAGGTAGTCTTCTCACCTTGGCCTCCCAAAGTGCTGGGATTATAGGCGCGAGCCACTGCCCCTGGCCAGAAATAAAATTTTTTGTTCACGCAATTCTTCTACCTGCCCTTTCTCTTCATAGATACAAGATTGATGCACATGTTTTCTTATGGAGGCTGCAATGAGCTATTATTAATCTGGATAATCTTTGTTTGTTTGGTTTTTTTTGAGTTGGAGTCTTACTCTATTGTCTAGGTTGGAGGGCAGTGGCATGCTCATGGCCACCACAGCCTTGGCCTGCTGGGCTCAGGCAATCCTTCCACCTCAGTCTTCCAAGTAGCTGGGACTACAGGCGTGCGTCACCACACCTGGCTAATTTTTTGATTTATTGTTGAGATGAGGTCTTGCCAAGTTGCCCAGTCTGGTCTCAAACCTATGAGCTCAGGCAATCCTCTCACCTCGGCCTCCCAAAGTGCTGGAATTATAGGCGTGAGCCACCACACCAGGCCAGGATAGTCTTTGTGTATAAATCAATGACAATAATGCATGATCTGTAACCAGGCTAAATCAAGAGATTCAGTATATGGGAATTTGGGAATTAGAAGTATCACATTTAAATGACTTAAAGTAGATAAGGTTAATTTCTTTCTTTTTTTTTTTTTTTGAGTAGGAGTCTCACTCTATCACCCATGCTAGAGTGCAGTAGTACACCCGTGACTCACTACAGCTTTGACCTCCTGGGCTCAGGAGATCCTTCTGCCTCAGCCTTCCATGTGGCCTGAACCACAGGTGTGCGCTACCACAACTGGCTAAGTTTTTGATTTATTGTAGAGATGAGGCCTCACCAAGTTGCCCAGGCTGGTCTTGAATCCCTGGGCTCAGGCAGTCCTCTCGCCTTTGCCTCCCAAAATGCTGGGATTACAGATATAAGCCACCATGCCAGGCTGATAGGGCTAATTTCAAGAATTTCACTCACAGAGACAAGGCTTTATCTTTCCTTTGTACCTTCTTCTGATAACTCTTGGGCCTTTTGTCAAGTATGGAATCACTCTCTTAATAAAGGACCACTTTACCTCTACCAGACTATGAATATTTTTCTTTTTTATTTTATTTTAAAGATGTGGGGTACGACTTAGGATTAGGTATACAAGTAGTCATCGTACAGGTGAAGTTTTGGCCTCCCTTTTGTCCCCACTTTGCATGGTTTGAGATCAGTTACTTGGGCCGGGCTTGGTGGCTCAGCTTGTAATCCCAGCACTTTGGGAGGCCGCAGTGAGTAGATTGCCTGAGCCTGTGGGTGCGAGACCAGCAACTTGGCGGGACCTCGTCTCTACAGTATATAAAAAATTAGCTGGGCATTGTAGTGTGTACCTGTAGTTCCGGTTACTTGGAAGGCTGAGGCGAAAGGATCACTGGAGCCCAGCAGGTTGACGCTGGGGTGGCCGTGAGCATGCCACTGCACTCCAGCCTGGCGACAGAGTGAGACTCCAGCTCAAAAAAAAAAAAAAAGAGATCAGTTACCCTTATTGATATTATGTGCCCTACCCCTCCCCTGGCAGTTTCTGTCTATTACCAATCTCTTTCTTTTATGATATTATGGTAAATGTTCAGGGTCCGCTTATGTGTGAGAACATGTGATACTTAGTTCTTTGCTTCTGTGTAAATCACCGAGTATTATAGACTCTAAATCTATCCATGTTGCTGTGAAGTCTATCATTTTGTTCTTCTTTATGACTGTGTAATATTCCTTTGTGTATATGTACCACATTTTTTTATCCAGTCCAGTTTTAATGAGCAGCACAGTTGGTTCCATGTTTTTGCTATTGTGCTGCAGTAAACATGTGTGTGCAGTATAAATATTTTTCTATCTCCTTTGTTAAAATAGGTCCCAATTCCTAGCCTCCACCCATCCCATCTCACTTTTCTACTTAAAAATGGATGGCAGTGAATAAATATGTGTTGTAAGTAATTGTCAATTGTCTGTGCGTCTGGTGGGGAAGAGAGAAGTTAGCAATTAAAGCATTCAAAGTGATTTAAATTACGTGGAGGTTAAAAAGATAATATACATTAAAATGATATATTTTACATGCTTTAATAGCTAACAGTTCTAGAGTATTTTCTAATAAATGTGGTTTTTATCTCATTTGATGTTATGCTTTTGAACATTTTCAAGTATAACCTATTTAGTGATGAGATATTTTAATAACACTGGCATATAAAGATGAAAATAAGCTATAATTTTAAGAAAGTTGATTTCTAGCTTTTCTGGGATTGCCTGAGCTCAGGGGTTTGAGACTAGCCTGAACAACTTGGTGAGATCTTGTTTCTATAATAAATCAAAAAAATTAGCCAGGCGTGGTGGCATACACCTGTGCTCCAGCTTACTTAGAAGGCTGAGGCAGAAAGATCGACTGAGCCTAGCAGGTCGAGGCTGTGGTGGGCATGAATGTGCCACTGCACTCCAGCATGGGCAACCGAGTGAGACTCCAAGTCAAAAAAAACAAATAAAAAAAGAATGAGGTACCAAGGATCCCAATCTAGAAACAGATGATACAGATCATCAACACAAAGAATAGCACCTTTGCCTTGCCATTTTGTACTTGTATAACTGTGAAGTATAATGCTCCCAAGTAGAGTTACCAGACTGATTCCTGTGGATCCATTTTATAATGATACTATCTATGGGCAAGACAGTATAGATACTTTTACTTTCTTTTCTTTTTTTTTTTTTTTTTTTT